TCATGACCGTGTATCTTTCCATATTCTAGGGGAAGATTCACTCTCGTTTTGCACATTTCGAGAGTAGTGCAGCGAGGCCCTCGTATATGTTCTGATCTGATCCGTGGCCCATCGGGCCGCATTGGAAACATGCTCCAGACCGTGATATCGCTATTTGCGCGGGAAACGCAGAGGTTGTCGGGGTCCGTAGGGTGGGCTGTCTCTTTCCTACCATCGAGCAGAAGTGCTTGGACGCCTTTATGTGTATGTATCTGGTTAGAAATGCGCTCACGTTCATTCTGGAAAATGCTACAGTGGCGCACCGCAACTGCGTTGCGCTAGCCAAAGTCCGCAGCCACTCCGTGTGTTGGGCGCGCGGATAATACCGGCCAAAATAATCAAAATCAAAAGATCACGGACCCTAGTTGCCACATCTCTTAAAGAATACATTCCTCACACGTTTCGATTTTCTATTTCAAAAAAATAAATAAATTAGAAGTCACTATTTCAATCCTTATTCTTACTTGAGCTGGCATGACAAGAATTAGTACTTTCTAATGTAAACGTCATCCTTGATCAACCAAATTCCTACGAAAACTTCGTCCTCGATTGAGATCTCTCCCTCTCAATTTCTGCCTTTCTCTCTCTCTCCCACTCTCTCTATCCCTCTCATGCATACATGCACACACATCTACGCACTCATAGAATATGTGTGTGTCTGTGTGTGATACTGTGCGTGTGTGATAAAGCGGGTGTCTGTTTGCGTGCCTCTCCGTGCGTATGCTTCTCTATGTATGTGTATTCTAAGAGCATTCAGAGATCAGTCAAATCCCTCCTCCTCCCTTTCTACCCTCTCTCTCTCTCTCTCTTCCCCACTCTCTCTCTCTCTCATGCATACATGCACACACGTCCACGCACTCATAGAATCCGCGTGTACGAGCGCGTGTGAGTGAGTATGTGTGTGTGTGTGTGATAGTGCGTGTGCCCGTCTGCATGCCTCTCTGTATGCGTGTCTGTGTGTGTTCTGACCGATTGTCTACTTTCTTTAATGACATTGTGACTCTTACTTCGCAAATGCTTCCACTACTTTTGCAAACTAGTAATCTCGTATCTAGACACCTTTTCCAACATATGAAGACCATAGAGGTTAATTACTCAAGTCATCCCCCAGTCATCAAGAAACTTAAATCCTGAGGTCCTCCGCTGCGTGTATGTTAAATGCACACACCGTACGGCTACTTCTGTGTTTTCGTGAAGTGTATCCTAACTTACGTAGCAGTGCGGTGATTTTTCCACCCTGTCTAGCGGTCTCTATTACTTCATGACATATGAAATCAAGCTCCGCGGCATCACGACCCGATTGGATTCTAAACAATCCCACCACTATATATCTTAAAAAAAAAAAAAAACTGCACAAAGAGGGAATGCAAATATATATATATATATACCTAGAGAAGCGATAAAAGCAGTTTCGAAGGATGAAATATATCACTCACTTCCAACCGACCAACCTAACTAATCAAAACTGCTCAAAAGCTAACATTCAGAATTAGGAGGCCACAAAAGTTTTTCACGGATTCCATCTTTATAGACCATACCCGATCAAGAAAATCTAGCATCCAATACGCCTTTTATCACATCATTTAAGATTTGTTTACATTTACGCAAGTTTAGGTTTACTTCAACTCTCTATCTACTATTAAAAAAAAAAAAAAAAAAAAAAAA